ATACGCAGAGAGAATGTGGGCAGCCACGCCATTGTTTTCAAAAGTCTCCGTTTTGGTCCATTTACACTGAAACGCAACCCCGGAGTTACACGACAATGATGAAGTCAAAAACTGAAAAGTTTTTCCCTTGCATTTTTAAAAAGTTTCACGTATACACAAAAACGTTTTCAAAATGATTCGCGTTTACAAATATCCGCAAAAACGGCCAAAAAACGCTGTATTACGTATGCCAGGCCAGTAGTTGGCGCTGTCACCTTGTTAGTAAACAGTAGGGAAGTGACGATTAAATGAGGTATATGATGTGTCTCCGCTGTTGGTTGTATTATTGGTCAAGTAATCCACACTTTGCTGAAGAAGCGTTAGCAAACTCTTGAGCAGCAACAACAGTACCATGTACTCCGCCATTGTTGTGTATGTTTGTTCGCGCTTGCCTTTAAAGCAGCAGTATGTAACTTTTTCTGTGTTCAAAATTTGCAAAATGTATATAATGCGAGGACATCATGAATTCATCTTCCAAACCGCGTTTTTGTCTTATTCCGAATCACTACGGTACACTTATAATAAGTACTTCTATTTGGACTGTTGTAGCCTGGTCGGGTCGTCACCGCTGCGGAGTAACACATACCTGCGTGAATCGCCATAGACACAAACTTAGAGAAGTAGCTCTTCCGCGGGATGTGTGCAGTTCTGTTTATTAACCGCTACAGCGCCAAAAGTTACATAGTGCTGCTTTAAAATCGACACGTACTGCGTATGTCTACATTAGGGATGGGCGATACCTCTTATTTTATTTTCGATCCGATACCGATATTTTCAAGCCCAATATCGTCGATACCTATACCAATACTTCTAAACTAAACTGATCTTTTAAATTATTAAAAGAATATATATTCAGTAATTATACTCACTTAATATTAGATTTTAAAGCCATGTTTTTTAACATTTCATAGGCCTTTTTTGTTTACACTTTTAGAAATAAAATAATATAATTATATATTTTAGCCCTTTAATGGGGCAGTAACCTCAAAGGTGCAACTATACCCTAAAAGTGAGCATATTAGTACCATACAAGTATGCATGTTTTAAGGGTAGATAAGTTACAAAGGTGCACCTTTGAGGGTACCTCGTGAAAAATAAACATGGTGTTACATAAGTACTAAAATGTATTATTATTATTATTATTATTAATATTATCATGGTAAATTTGTGGTTACTGCAGTTTTACTACAAATACTGTGGTTACTGTAATAAAACCATGGTTAAGTTTTGTAAAAGGCTGCCAGGCTGCTGTACCCCTAAAGGTTTTTTTTCTGACAGATTTATTAACGGCAATTACAGAACAAAACACAATCCATTTGAACTTTTAAAAACCAGTTTAATTAAGTTTACTTGCACAAACTAGCCAATTTAAAATAAATATTACATGTACACAAAAGTTTGGGGTCAGTAATATTTTGTAATATTTTTTTAAGTCTCATGCTCACCAAGGCTGCACTTATTTGGGGGGGGGCAGTAAAAGCAGCAATATTGAGAAATATAACAATTAAAAATAACTATTTTAATATATTTTAAAATGTATCTGTAATCAAAGCTGAATTTTCAGCATCGAATCCAGTCTTCAGTGTCACATGATCCTTCAGAAATAATTATAATATTTGCTGCTCAAGAAACATTTATTATTATTGCTCCTTCATATTTGTGTGGAAACCGTGATGCATTTTTCAGAATTAATTTTATATATAGTAACAATGTAATCTACTGTAATAATGTGGCAATGGTTTCTTAAGATCTACTTATGCTTCTGATGCTTTTGGGAAACGCAACCCTATTTGAACAAGCACTCTGAGCCATGCGTCAGCAGCGAACGCTGATTGGTTCTTTCTTTCAGCATTTGCGTGTGTTCCGATAAGCAAGAGAAATGGTTCTATCCAACACAATTATTCGCTAATATAGTCTATTTTTCCACTTAGAAGCTTATTTTATGCACCGAATTTCTTGATAAGTAAATACAATTAATGTTTAAAAAAATTCATTTTAGAATCGATATTTTTATGTGAGGATCGATCCTTTCGATACAACATCAGTATCAAAAGTATCGATACTTAAGGATCGATCCGCCCATCCCTAGTCTACATACCTAACACGTACTATGCACGCGCATGACGTCACCGTTTTCAAAGGTTCCTGTATTTGGTGTTTACACAGAAAAATAACTTGCACTTTGAAACTCGTTTTCAAAAATATGCTTTTTCTGTCGCCAAAATGTCTTTGTCGTGTAAACGAACAGTCAAAACGCATAAAAAGTTTCCAGTTTTCGTCTGAAAACGTTGTCGTATAATGGCCCCTAAAACGTGGTCTGCATCGTTTTCAAAAGTCTCAGTTTCTGAGGGTGGAAAATGCTGGAGTAGTATAAACGATAGGCGCAACCGTAGCAAAAGTTATGCGTTTTAAAACGAAAACACACTAGTGTAAATGTGGCCTTATTCCATTCGCATGCACTGAAACATAAGCAGTTTTGCCACGTTCGCATTCTTCCACCAATGAACGGAACTGTCTGGGTTTTAGTGCGTGCATAAGAATTAAACTAATGTTATGCCGGTTTGTCCAATTGCTTCCTGAAGTGTTAATGACAGATCATGTCAGGTGAAAGGGAAGCAAAATATTCTGCAGAAGATATTTAATGTTGTGTCCGCTGGCTTTATTTCTTTAACAGCTTCAAGTTTAACGCACTTTCGTGATATCGGCCATTTCAAGTTTATTTTCCCGCACCGCTTGCTGCGCCTATATTAAGACATTTCTCTGCGATTCGCAGTCTTTAATTCCATATAATTTGTCCTGTCACTTATGAAAAACATCTGTTTACTTATAGTATTACTTGTAACAGTAGGCCAATAGAAAGACAAGACCACAAAGTAACCGCTGCTTTGATGGCACAACTGATAATGTGAGTTCGCTTGTGTGGCGGCTCGGGTTCGAATCCAGTCTGCACACTCTAAAAAATGCTGGGTTAGAGGGTTAGTTCACCCAAAAATGAAAATTAGCTTGTGTTTTACTCACCCTCGAGGCATCCTAGGTGTATATGACTTTCTTCTTCCAGACGAATCCAGTCGGAGTTATATTAAAAATTGTCCTGGCTCTTCCAAGCTCTATCATTGCAGTCAGCGGGTGTTGCAGTTGAACAGTCCACAAGTCATCAAATAAAGTGCGCACATCCATAATAAAACGTGCCTCACACGGCTCCGGGGGGTGAATAAAGGCTTCCTGTAGCGAATCCATGTGTTTTTGTAAGAAAAATATCGATATTTCAAACATAATAAACACTCTTCTCTCACGTCCGGCATCTGTCATACGCGGAAGCCGTTCCGGCGGATGACAGATACCGGAAGTGAGAGAAAAGTGTTTATTATGTTTAAAATATGGATATTTTTCTTACAAAAACCAGCATTTGCTACAAAAACAAGCACCCCCCCCGGAGCGGTGTGAGGCACGTTTTATTATGAATGCGCGCGCTTTATTTGACGACTTGTGGACTGTTCAACTGCAACACCCGCTGACTGCAATGATAGAGCTTGGAAGAGCCAGGACAATTTTTAATATAACTCCGACTGGATTCGTCTGAAAGAAGAAAGTCATATACACCTAGGATCCTTCGAGGGTGAGTAAAACACAGTCTAATTTCATTTTTGGGTGAACTAACCCTTTAAATACAGCCCAGTGCTGGGTAAAATATGGACAAACCCAGCGATTGGGTTATTGGTTGTTTTGACCCAGCGGTTGGGTTACTGCCCAGAAGGTTGGGTTAAACATTTAACCCAACTGTTGGTTAAAAACAACCCAATCGCTGGGTTTGTCCATATTTAACCCAGCACTGGGCTGTATTTAAGCCAGCATTTTTTAGAGTGTAGGTTTTCCTACATTCAGTGTTCAAATGTCTGTTCCCAATGTGTCTCTGATGTTCACTAGACAAGTGAGTTGGCTGGTATGCTGGGGGTGTGAGTAAAAGTCAATTTCTTAAGCGGTGCCATTAATTATAAAGATAATTTTTTTGCATTAGAAGCACACGATAATGGTGCCATTAGCATGCTTCAAGTTTACTTGGAATGCCATTGCAATGCATGTTAAAGTCACTAAAAGCAAAGGTTAGTATGACTTCAGTTTGTTATTAGTATAATATTAATGTATGTTCAGCACTATTACAGTGTAACTGAATTGCAATTATAATGTCACCAAAATACATTTGAAGTTTATGCTGAATTAATTCTGCATTTCAAAACTTAAATAGAAGAGTGGATATTTAAAGTGTACTTAAGTATATTTGGAATAGTTCCACTTTAGCACAAACAAGTATATTTATTACAACTTTAGTTGAACCTCAGCACTGCTTTTGCACAACTAAAATGAATTTAGGAAAAAATGAGTTGTTCCAATTTAACAGACTTTAAGTATACCAATTTATAGTGTGCCACAAATACATTTAGTTATACTAAAGTACATAAACTGTAAAAAGTAATGAGTTGAACTTACTTGGAAAACCTGTGGAAACTGATTGCCTCAAATTTCTCAAGCAAATTAGTTTATAATTTTTTTTTTTTATAATTACCTATACTTTGTATAGGTAACTTGTGTATATGTAGAGGTTACCAGAAAACTTGAGTGTTGCTAACTCAATTTGACAAGTTCAGCCAACTTAGAGATGTAAGTTAAGCTTAGTGCACAGAACTCAAACAAAACAGTTCTCTTAACAAGTCTGCTTTGTTCACATTACTAGACAAATGTGTGGAAATAGATTGCCTTAAATTTCTCAAGTAAGCTGTACTCAAAACTTAAAGTTGTTAATATAAAGACAGAAAACTGATTGTTAGCACAACAATAGGGCATTTATTTGTTTAAAACAATGTTACTTCAAGTAATTACTTTTTAGGCATGCTATCAAATCAACAATTTAACATTCTAGGTTCAGTCATTGAATGAAATCAAAGGTGTACTTCAGTACAGGAGGATACTATAATTTCATAGCATAAATCCAAGTCCAAAGAGCAGGCATATCTTGGGGAGGATTTTCCAGATCATCCAATACAATTGTACCTTCCAAAATGATTGCAGTAGACGTGGCATTAAATGCAGTGAGTTAGGTATGGCTCTAGAGTCCTCAGCTCAGGGATCACGCTCAACAGGCCGACTGACATCTCTTCATCATAGTCCTAGAAACAAGAATACAATATGACAAAAATTTAATAACCAGAATATAACAGACAAAATTACTTACAAAACATGTCTTGTAAAATCAGTAAGGTCCTTTTCAAGGAAGAGTGGAAGGCCGTGGAGAACTGCCGTTCATCGCCCATTGATGTCAGATGTCTGTACAATTATTACAAAAACTCATATTTAATATCACTCAAAGCACAAGCACTCAGCATAACATATAATGAATATCTACTTATTCTGTGCAGGGTTTCACAAAACTGCAACATATGATTTTCCATTAAGCACACCTATGTGAATAAGCATATACTATGTGGAAACATGGAATTGGAGAATTTTCATATTCCATAGCTTCCATATTTTAATAAGTTTTTCAGCAGTTGAGCTCTCTTTTCACTCAATAAACAAGTAGAACTTCCACTTCCACTGTATGAGTTTAAGTCCCCAAAAAAGAGCACAAAGAATATGACAAGAAAATGGTTATAATTAGTGCTGGGCATTGACGCACATTTAAAAACTATTTTATATGAAGTTCCTACTCCAAATAATTTTCTGAAATATAAACATTTAAACAGTGGTTGTGATGATAACTTGTTTTCATAACATTTGTTCAAACATTAAATGCTGAAAAACGGATTACATAAGACATGATACATTTAATTAAGTTGTACTGTATCGCTCAACATACTTTATGATGCTTACTCACGTTTATTTCATGTTATAACTAGCAGTAAAGAGGAAGATCGATGCTTGTAAGCCACTGGCTAGCTAGTACGCTAACTGACGGTTACAGTAATGCTCGTCAGTAAAAACTAATAAAATCTGCCTTTTCTTTTCCTCAAAAACGATAGCACACACTGTGACAATATAGTTTATAAGTAGATCACCAAAAACTTACCTAATCTTGCGGCCACATTTCAAACACGATCTGACTCTGAAGTTCAGTTCGTTGTCTTCTTCTGGTGATGTTTTGTTTAAACCAACCTTCCGCCACCTATTGGTGCACTTCCGCCACCTACTGGTCTAGAGTTATTAGGGCACATAGTGGGATTTAATCCAACAAACTAGATGCTCTTAAGTACTGTTTACTAAAGTTGTTTAGTTTAACTATTGCATCCACCTGAAAGTTCACATAACACAGTGTAATTAAGTAAATTCAACAAATTTGTAAAAATCAGTTAAGTTTACTCACTTTTCTTAAGTAGATTCAGTGATTACTTTTTACAGTGTACAAATAAATTGTGCTTAAGTATACTATTTTTTTACTAGGGCTCGCTAACTTCCCTCCAACTTGTTGACTCGTTGTATGTTGCACAAGTGCCCATTTTTCCTCTTACAAATTAGTTTGATGCAGCATTCTATATGTACTGTATATAGTTATGGGCTGTTTTAAATATTTAAAAATATTTTTTTAAAAATGTAATATATCATAGAGTTGTTTGGGTTGGGGGTAAATGAAACAGGATGGGTGATGGCATCACAATCGTGTTGCATTGTGGTATATGGAGTAGCCTGAAGTGTACATACATAGACTCGCTCTCTCTGTCAAAATCGAGGGGTCAAAGGTCTGTCCATATAAACCTTCCTGTACCAAATACCTATCCATACTTCAGTCACAGCCATAAGCAACTGTTCAGCAATTACATACTACACATACTTCAGTACATAAAACAATATAGATTTAACTGACTGGTCCAATCTTTCTTTAAGGACAAATGAACTGAGGATTGTGGTTCTTGGCACAATAGGAGTCGGAAAAAGCAGCACAGCAAACACCATCTTTGGGGAGAAAATATTCAGTGAGCTTACATCTCCCAGCACTGGAACTAGATATAGCAGAAGTGAAAGAAAATTAGTAAATGAGACAGATTTAACTATTGTGGATACACCAGGATTTTTTAATTCAGACCATACTGATGTGGCACTGCACAATGAAATAAAACAAAGTGTTAATGAGTGTAAACCAGGACCCCATGCTGTTGTTCTTATTTTGAGAGCGGGGGTGTATGCAGGACAGAATGCTGATTCAGTTGCAGAACTTAAGAGATTCTTGGGTGAGGACGCACTAAAATATGCAATCATTTGCTTCACGTATGGTGATGAGCTGAATGATGGACAGACCATTGAAGACTTTGTGGGGGGAAATGCAGAGCTGAAAAGACTGGTTGATGAGTGTGGAGGTCGCTGTCACGTCATTGATAATAAATACTGGAATGATCAGGGAGATGAGTACAGAAACAACAAAGTTCAGGTACAGAAACTACTGAATACAGTAAAACGGATGCAAAGAGAGAATGGAGGAAGTTACTACACCAGTAAGATGCAGCAGGAATATGACAGAGTGACACTGAGGCGGACAGGAAGAACAAAATTATCAAAAACAAATAGATGGAGTGTAATATGTTATTTCTACGAGTTTGTTTTAAATGCTTTAATTGGATTTTTTAACTGGACTGCAGGCAGATTCCGCAATCATTGAAACCGATAGTTTGGCTGCTCAAACACAGAAGACCAACACCGAGTAAAATGGTCGTGACCCAGACAATAATTTTCGTTATGTTGCAAAAGGTTCTCATTCCACACAAAGCTACCGTGTTTTTTTGTGAGACCAGTGAGATATCTTAGATAGGCCTAATACTTTTAGCTGAAATAAAATTAACCTAGAATGAAAAATTGCTAGTTTTGAACAAATACTATAAATAGAATATAAAGCAGTTTGAATATTATTTTGTTTGACCTACTGAGGCACTGACCATTTGTTGAAAAATGAAAAAAAAGCACTGCCACATAACATGTATTTATATGTATTTTAATCTACAGTATGTTTGATGATTGATTACAGTTCATTATTTGTTTTATTCCTTTCTGTAACTATTCCCATAATCATTCATTTTGGTCATTTTTGATTTTGTGTTGACTTAAACAGTAGCACAAAAGTACTGCTGAGCACCTATAGACTAACTGGTGAGGGGAAATGGTGGAGGATGTGTTGTTGTAGGTCAAGTTTAAATCTGTGAGGAAAAATCAGGACTAAGAATGTAGAAATGCAGGCTGCAGTGTGGTGGTAAATGTGGAAATGCAATAACTGTATGTGTAGTTCAACTCTTTTTTGGACAAAATAAAATACACAATATAAAAAATAAAACAGTCAGCTTCTTTTTAATTACAGTGTGTATATCCTGATAAATGCAGCAACACTATACTCATATTCACCAAACATTCTTTTCTTTTGATATAAACCTTGAATAATAAGTATTAAACTGCAATTTAAAGAGATAGTTCACCCATAAATGAAAGTTCAGTCATTATTTACTCACCCTGCTGTTGTTCCAATGCTGTGTGTCCTTCTTTCTTTTATAGACCACAAAGGAAGAATAAAAAATAAATAAATAAATTGTCCTGCTTGTCCTCGTCCATTAAAATGGAAGTGAATAGCATCAATCTTTAAAAAAAAAAAAAAAAGATGCAAAAGTAGGCTATCACCAAATGGTCCCATGCGGCACATGTCATATATTCTAAGTGTTCTGGTGATATATGACAGGGTTTGGTGAAAAACAAAATGAAATTGTATTAATTAATTATTTTATAAATGTTATCATTTAACAAACATCCTAACATTGGCCATTAGTCTTCTGATGGGATAAAAAAAATCCTATTTAAAGCTATATATATCATTATTGTGATGGTGGGCCCTGCAGTAAGTCATAGTCCCGGGGCCCAGTAAGGTCATAATGCGGCCCTGGGTACAGGCTACGTGACATTTTGTTTACAAGTCATTTTAATGACGTCTTTCTGCAGTTGAAACAGTTATTGAGTGATTAAGTATGAGATGTTCATTTATGTTTATTTCGTGTTTAAACTACTAGTACAGACAAAAGGTCCTACGGTTCTAAGGTCCTACACTCTTAAAAATAAAGGTGCTTCACGATGCCATAGAAGAACCTTTTTGTCTAAATGGTTCCATAAAGAACCTTTAACATCTGAAGAACCTTTCTGTTTCACAAAAGGTTCTTTGTGGCGAAAGAAGGTTCTTCAGATTACAAAAAGGTAAGAAAGAGATGGTTCTTTAAAGAACCTTTGACTGAATGGTTCTTTGTGGAACCAAAAGTGGTTCTTCTATGGCATCGCTTGAAGAACCTTTTGAGGCACCTTTATTTTTAAGAGTGTAGCGAACTACCAGGACCTTGCTCGCTAATCTAAGCTGTCCAAAGTTTGGCTACACTTGCGATAGTATGTATACTATTTGTGATAAGCTTAACATGTTGCAAGACATGTGTCACCACCAACATGACAAAGCACTTTAATTTAACAGATCGTTAAAGATCACGAACACGATTCAGACACCAACGTGATGATTCACCTGTTTCATTCTTCAACCTTTGACGTTTGCGATCACAATGTTGTGATCACGTGGTCCGTCCGTGCAGCGCACGATCACACCAGTGTGATTTGAACAAACAGCGTTTGCACTGCTGCTGATTTAAAGAGAGCAGCAGTCATGTATGAGGGAAACAGCTTCACAGTCTTTTCAACCACACAGTATCATTATTTCTGTGTTACAAACATTCAAATAATCACAGAAGTAGGCCTACTGGGATAAAAGTTTATAGTTCGGATATAAACTCTAATATGTACGGCAGCGATCAAAATAGAGTAAATCACCTATTGAAAGTAATTTGACAATTCAAACAAAGATTTATCGATTACATTGTTATGCCAGTAGGTGGCGAAAAGAGGCTGTGAAAATGTATTCTTTGAATCATTCAAGAGATTTGTTCAAAAACACTGATTTATCAGTAATGAAACAAGTACATATTTGTTGTACTTTGTTGTACGTTGTTTTTAAAAACCTTCAATTTACATTTTTTAAACAAATTTATCCAGAATCATGCAGCTCTATTTTGCACACAAACAGTTCTTAAACGAGTCCAGTTTTTATATAGCCTGTTGATTTTTGTTCATGGTAATCAGCTGCAACTAAATGTTTTGCAAAAAGAGACACAAAATAAGTATGTTTAATATAATTTTTTAATCACATTGGAATCGAAACTGGGTATCGAAAAGAATCGAAATCGATAAGCAGAATCGGAATTCAAACGATACCCAACCCTGACTCAGGGTGCGAGAACATCTAAACATAGAACATAGAAAGAAGTCTCAGAATATGAAGCTTTACCTATAAATAAGATGCATTTCTAGCTCTTACTGATTTTAAATCAAAATTTTTGTACCCCTGAAATGGGTCTTACCAACAACATTACCTGAGCATTTAATTCTGGATTTATTGCATGGGTGGAGAAGGAACTTCATGTAAGTGTTTGAAATGCATTTGAATGTTTGTTAAAATTATAAAAATGTGCCCCTTTTTAATGCTGTTAGACTGAAAGTACAAAGAAAAATATTTGCTGAAATATCCACAATTTAACAACTGCCAATCAACTGTGCGTTCATTAGTAAGTTCAGGCACATTTTCTTTTAGAATTGAAGAAAAGATAGCATTTATTTACCTGCAGAGTATTATTAAATGTTAGTGTTATCTAGCTAACATTCGCTATTCTGTTTGATCACCAGTCACTTGATTTGTTATTTTTGTCATCAGGTTGTGGCTACTGTGTCTACTATGGTCAATAAAATGATCTCATTGTTTAACGTTTTCTGACTTTTCATTCCAAATTGTTACAAGCTTACTTTAATATCAGTAATACACGTAAAGCTCATTCTGCAAAAATATTCTTAAGATAGGCCTACACCAATGCAATCAAGTGTTTATGTATGTCCTGTTGTTGATACTAATACACTTACAATAATAACGTTAATTATAAATTTAAAGCACCATCTGAATTAATCTGCGGGAGGTATTCGGCTTGAATAGTTTGCAAGCAGAGCTTGTGCTCTTCTGTTGACTAGTGCAGTTATGCCACACTTTAATATCTTT